AAGATTCTTGTGTGATATCTACAGGCCATATCTGATTGTGATCCCGTTTCACTTTGATTACCCTGTCAAACAAGTCAGCCTTCGCCCCTGACTGTAGTTTTAGTTCTACTAAGAGTTTTACAGCACATACAACACAAGTAGGTCAGATATAAGTGACCAAGATAAGAAGCGATATGGACGACATTTGTTTGATCGGCAAGAAGAAGCAAACCACACATGAGCACCCGTCAACCACCCACAAGGCACAACCCACAACTTGTAGATGTACTCACCACGAGGATATGGTTGTACAGCCAGACTGCTCGAACCCGTTCCCTCTGTGGGTAGTAGCAAGCGGCTACTGCATGCCTCAGCCGTAGCCCGTAAGCTTCGAAAACAGTCAAGAAGAAACAGACAGCGAGCACGCCTACCACAGTCTGGTACACCGGGAAATTCGGTTTGGAGGGTTTTGGGAGACATTGACTCGTGTCAATGTCAAGGTCGTCGTCTGCTACAGGTTCAAGGACACCCACCATAGCCTTGGCGTTTTGAAGATACATGTAATATAATAATAATAACAACAACAACAATAATAATAATAATAATAATAATAATAATAATAATAATAATAATAATAATAATAATAAGTGAGATAAAAGAAAGAGTGTGTGCAGTAGCCTTTCATTATGAATCTGATAAGATACAAACATGTAAACCATCAATCCAGTTAGTCCAAAACTTAACAAGTTGAAGAGGATAGGATCTACGGAGTGAGGAAATTCGGATAAATAATTTGCCGATCAGCATCCGAACTGGCCCACAGGACATATTATTATATCTAATATAAACTGTGTCGTTTTGTTGTTATAGGCCCTAAAAAAAGAGGAAAGTATACAAAGGGGTACATATATGAAGATAGAGGAGCAAAATTCGAATTGGCCCTCTTATTCTTTTTCTCGTTTTTGCGAAGGGCAGTTTTGGTTTTGGTTTGGTGGGTTTTACTTTTGGTTTTTTGTTTGTTTGTTTGTCAGTCCGTTTGTTTGTTTGTTTATTTGTTTTGTTGGTTGTTTTTTTTGGGAGGGGGGAACAAAGATAACACATTTCTATTTACGTCCCTCGTTTTCACACCTTCAGATTCTCTGGCTCTGCTGTAACCTACTTAAGTAAACAACATCAGAAAAAACCGCAAAATACATCCCCCTAAAAAATGTAATAAAAAAAAAAAACAACAACCAAGGACAACAAAGAAACAAACAGAGACGCTCACAACCTTGTACATGTCAGCCATAGGCCCCTGGCCCTGCACGTGCATTTGTAAGTGAGCAGGCACCGCCATCTTGGTGCGCACGTCCATGTGAACGCGGACCAGCGTGAGGATCCAGTAGAGGCCGTAGTCACACAGCAGGTAGTAGCCGGCGTGGAAGGCCGCGAACAGCCACAGCAGCACGCCCTTTACCATCTTCTGGGCCTAAGTACAAGGCCATTCAAACAGAATGAGTCCATTTCATTAATGATAATAGTGGGTGGTTGGCGGTAGCTCAGATGTGGTTTGCTCCTTCTTTCCTCCAAAAGATCTATCGTCTCTAACTCCCCTCCTTCTTTTTTGTGTTTGTTACATTCTTGTAACACCTCTAGATCTAATCTTTGGCACTTATATGACCTTATTGTGTTGCAAGTGCCGTAAAACTCTTACTTAAAAAATTTAATTAAAAAATAGATAAATAAAAATAATAGAAAGCATTTGTATAGCGCAAATTCCAGCTCAACAGCAAGCTCTATGCGCTTTACAATCTATACTATTACTACTACCCCAGCAGACCTGAGAGCATTCTGAAACAAGCTCAACTTCCTTGGAAGCATACAGTGCAAGCAGCTGATTAAGCGCTAAAACACTAACATACTGACAAGATCTTTCACTGTCTATGGCCATTTTGGGTGAAGTGAGGAAAATTCGTGTAAAGTGCTTTCCCAAGGACACAACATCGGGCCCGCGGCTCGAACCCCCGAACCTGCAACTTCACGATTACGGGTACAGTAGCCTAACCACTAGGCCAGCGGCACAATATCTTCACAAGGAAAAGCAATAGAAAACTCAGACCAAGTCACAAGCATTGTACTCACAATCACATTTGATTTCCTGTGTTACAAGTGTCCAATGTGGCCACCAGCAGCAGCACGAGCAACATCAATGCGATAAGAGAGTTCAGCCCAGACGCGTCTCAGCATAGCACGGCCCACTGAGTAGATTTCTTTTATTTCGATGTTTAATAAGTCATCAAGGTTCGTGGGTAGCGGTGGAACATAAACGAAATCTTTTTGCCTACATGATATCCTTAAAAGAAAAAAATCACATACCGTGAGGTCTGTGGATCTGGCAAACTAAGCACAGACAGCCCTTTTACGACCAGTCTATTGTTGGGGCACTGCTATTCGAAAGTTAGGTTACTCCTATTTCAAATGGTCACTGGTTCGTTCCATAACGATGCCTGAGAACCGAAGCATCGTGTAAAAAGATTGGTGCATTCTTTTTCAATCATCCTGTATAACATAGACATAGAATCAGAGTAGGTTCCCTTTTCAGTTTGGTTTGTTTTTAGTTTTAGTAAGAGTTTTACGGCACTTGCCAACACAATAAGGTTAAATAAGTGCCGAAGACTAGAGGTGTTACAAGAGAGTAACAAATATGAAAAAGAAGGAAGAGAGATCAGGACGATAGATGTTTGACAGATAAGAAGGAGCAAACCACACAAGAGCACGCGCCAACCACCCACTAGGCTTGTTTCGCGTCAAAAGCTTCAACTGAGCACAACACGGGATGTCGAAAGGTGTTACCTGGAACAGCAACTAGAGTCGTGAATAGTCACAAAGAAGATAGCACTGGGTGTATGAAAAAAAGAGAACCCAATTTTTAAAAATAGATATTTTTCAAATAGTTCAGTTGATGTTCGTAACATTGGTCAATATGACGTCCTCCTGGTTGAATTTTACTTTTCGTTCGAAATTTTATTAAAATTGGTCCCAAGATGTGTGTGTGTGTGTGTGTGTGTGTGTGT